GGCCTTGCTGGTCAGAAATGCCACGTTGGCAGTTGGCCGCAAGTTTTGGGCCTTGTCTCCCAACGCTGACTCCATAACTCCAAAAATCTGAAGAGAGACCCAGAAAATCAATATATATATGTATACGTATTTTAACTTAGAGGACACAGATTTGGGGGTTGGAAAGGGTTAAGATTCAGGTTGCGGGTGGGGGCAAAGTTGAATTGGTTCAATTTGGGGTCTGCGTCCCAAGCGCAAACAGCCACGATTTTCTCAAATGTTCTCACCACCTTTGGGGTCTGCAGACCTTCCAGAGATAGGCTTTGTGGCCCAGAGAGGATTTCTCCTTGCCTGCTTCATCTGTCTCTGGGGTATGCAGGGCGGAAGGTCTTGCTGCCAGCCCTGACACCCTGGAAATCTCAGGCCTGGCCTAGTATAGTTGAGGCAGGTGCCCTAAACTGGGACCCGCGGGGATTGGGGTCAAGTGACAGGGGCACCCACTCAGGACCCCTGAAGCCCTGGGCTGGGCTGGCTGGCACCTGTGCACAGGTTTTCTTCTGCGGTGATTTCCAGGAGGACTGCTGAGGTCCCCCGATATCTGGTGTTTTGATGGGGGGGGCTGCGCCCCTCCTCATGGACCCTTTAGAAAGCCCACTCTCCCCCTGCCATTTGCATCCAAGATGGACTCTCCGCTGCCGCTCCTCTGGCTTCCTTGTCATCATCCCTCACGCCCTCCAGCCCTGCCTCCTGCTCACGGGTTGCCAAGCCGCGGCCTGGCCGGCGGTGGCAGTGGCGGAGTTAGACAAAGCCCCCGCCTCCCCGCCCGAGAGCACATCCCCCCCCCAGGCGCCCCAAGTGGCGGGAAGGCCGCCAGCTCCCCAGGCCCAGGCCGCTCTTTGTCTGGCGTGGGGGCGGGGAGCTGCGCCTGGCCCCAGGAGCTGCCGGCCTCTGCCAATCCCTCCCCCGGCTCCGGGCCCTCCCTGGTCCCCGCACACTGCGTGCATTGTCTGTGATGCTCGGAGCGGCCGTGCTCACGCCCAGTCTGGTTTTCTCCCTGGCCTCCTGCAGCCGGATGCACTGGCCCTCCCTGTGTCTGCCGGAAGGAGTGGGCATGAGTAGAACTCAGGGCCCTTCTGCCAACTCTCCCCAGGGCCGCACACACACACCCCCCCTTTTCAGCAGAGTAAGAGCCTGGCACTGACACAGAATTGGGGTCACCGACCACGTCACCTGGGGATGGGAAAGGCAAGCCCTCAGCTGTTGCCCAATTCTCCCCCTAACCCAAACCCGGTGATTTCTCCTCCCTCCCTGTCTTAGCCCCCCACCCGAGACCTAACCCTAGCCCCATGGAAGAATGGGATCTAGAGCCTTTAGACAGTCTGTTGGGAATCATTGCCTCAAACAGATGGAGAAACTGAGGCCCAGAGAGGGAAGGGTCTCGTCCAAGGTCACACAGCCAGACCAACTCCCGGTCCAGGCCCTTGTCTGTAGGAGAGCAGATGGGACGGGAGGCAGGGAGGTGAGAAGCAGTGCCAAGCAGCAAGAGGTGAGGGCAAAGGGTGGTGCAGGGAATGCACACCCGAGTCCCACTCACCTGCCCAGGAACTGGAATCTCCTAGACACTGGGCTGCTTTGCGGGGGTACGTACCGCCCTGGTCTTGCATTTAGCATCCTGGCCTTCCAGAGAGGTGTGCTATCTTGTGGTGGTCAGAACTGGAACCCAGATCTGGGGCTGCAAGGACCACACTCACTGCCCACATCAGAAGGTTCAGGAAGTTGGGGTTGTTTGGCTGCTCTGGTGAGGGGTGCTTGGGGGGCACCCACGCTGCCCTACTCCCGTGCTCTGGCCACTGCACATCTGTGGTTGCCTCGGATGGCGGTCACAGACATGGTAGTCGTCCGTCCCATCCCGAGCAGTATGTGCCCGAAGCACAGGTGTCTTAACGTCCCCACTTTAGAGGCGTGGCGACCGGCGCGAGGAGTGGCCCGGTGATGTGCCCACTTACCGGCTTAGCGGTGGCAGAATCCATGTTTCCTGACTGGGCATCCCACATTTGAGCCTAAACCTGGGCCCCGGCTTGGGGTCGGGGAGGTGAAATCCAGGGCAGGCCCGAGAGCGGGGAAGACATCTTGGGTACAGAGCTGTCCCCAGCTCCTGGACAGAGGGGCAGTATGGTGTCAGGGTACCAGCCTCTTCTGTGGTGTGTGGCTCAGGAGAACGCCCATCCTCTCCAGACTGCCTCTTTATGGTCAGGGGCTCCAGGGCTCCCCGAGGGCCCCTTCCACTCCACCAGCTGGAGCTCCTGAGCTTTCTTCCTCCCTGTCTCCTCCCCTGCTCACACCAGATGAGCAGCTGGTCGGTTTGGCCAGCCTGGCACCAGCTGTCCATCCCCGGGGCCAAGTCTGCGGAGTCCGCCGTGTGCTTGAGAGACCGTTTGGCTCTGGGGGCGGCAGGCAGAGGGGGAGCTGCTCCTCGACTGGGCGTGGAGGCAGGCGGGCGGCTGCTGAGGAGGGCTAGGTAAATTCTCCATGGTTACCGCTGTTTGTAATTCTGCAGGACATCCGCTACCCGCTAATGGCCACTTGGACGCCATTATGGGTCTGCATGCTTCCAGCTACTGAGCCGGAGCCGGAAAATTCCCTGCTGATGACTCCCCAACCCGCATCCAGGAGGCTCCATTCTTAGCTGGGCCCTGTCCCCACGTGGTCCCTCACAGCTGAGGGACAGGGTGTCTGAGTGTTGCAGTCCATAGACGGGGCCTTGTCCCTCCCTCCCTTGGGATGTGAGCCATCCAGGCGTAGAATCAGACTGTCAAGAATCCTGTCCCCTCTTTGGGGAGGGAACCACAGGGGCTCAGGGAGATTGAGAGGCTACCGAGGACACACAGAGAGACTATGATACACTCCAGGTTCCTGACTTGGTGCCCAGTGAACCAGTCTCCGACCAGGGTTAGGCCTCTGAACCCTCCCTCTGTCTTCCTTAGCGTGTGTCCAGCAAAGAGTTGGGCACATGGGATATAGACCAGCCTCCGTAGCAGGTGGGCTCGTGTGGCGGTGATTTGGCTCTCGGTCATCCACTTCTGGGGAGCAGGACCCAGGGAAAAGTGGCTAGCAAGGATGAGGCCAAGAGTAGCCGCAGATTTCATCTTTGCGACCAGTCCTGACCACGTGGATGGGAAGGGGTTCTGTGACTGAGGAGCGATGTCTGCCGTGGTGCTGGGTGGGAAGAGTGGTGACCTGTTAGCTACATTTTCCTGTTGTCTGGGCTGAGCGCCGGCCATCCCCAAACTAGAGGACAGGAGCAGGGTCTCTGTCCTATGAAGACAAAAGACTGTGTCTGGCATGCATCCTGGGTCGGGGGACTGTCTCGGGGGACTGTCTCGGGACCCAGAGTCTTTGCTTTGGGTACAATCACATGATTCCTGATTCTTCTCTTCTTCTCCATAGCTGGGAGCGTCCACCCGCCCTCCACCAGTATGGCAACATCCTCCCAGTACCGCCAGCTGCTGAGTGACTACGGGCCGCCGTCTCTCGGCTACACCCAGGTACGGTAGTGGGGGGTGTGGGGTGGGAGGGGCTCTGGGGCTGGCCTGGGCACCGAGGGGACATGCTTCCCGCCGTCCGGGGAGGAGAGCCGGTCGGACGGGGTAGAAATGATGGAATGGAACAGTCGTCTGAACCGCTTCAACCTCCGGCCCTTGCGACCTCAAGTCTCAAGCCTCGGGGCGTCGGAGCAGAGGGGTGGCAGGCTGTTTCACGGGGGTACCAAGAGATGGGGGCGGAGAGCCCACGGGGGGCTGGAAGGCCTGAGTGCTGCAGGCCCTGTTGGGGCCACCACCCACGTGTGTCCCTGCGGCCGGAGTCTCTGTACTGGATTCCTGAGGAAGTAAGGCCTGACCTGGGCTCTGGATCTGAGCCTGGACAGAGGAGAGGGAACCCCGTTCCAACTCACTCTCCGCAAGGTCGTGGCCCCAACAAAGAGGAGGACAGGGCCCATATCCTCCCGGAGCCCAGATGCGCCTCCTCGGGAATGGGGGCCCTTGAGCCAGGCCGCAGGGGTTTCTACGGGGTTCTGCCACTTACAAGCCTGACCCCTGCTTGGCAACCTCGCAGAGACCCGGTTCCTCGCCGTCGAGCGGGGTCGACGCTGCCACTGGCCTCACTGGCTGTCGCCGGTGGAGGGACCTGGCCAGGCCCCCGCCTCGGTGCCCGCTGGCCGTGGCTGCCGTCGGGTTCTCTGCTGTCATCGGAACGCGGCCGCGTTCTGGGGTCGCCACGGAGGCTGGCCCTGCGAGAGGGTGGTGGCCGGCCATGCCCCGCCAGGCCGTGCTGTCCCAGGAGCACATACGGGACCTGGAACGGGAGCCCCGGAGGAAGCGGCCATGGGAGGAGGGCGAGGAGGACCGCTGGGCCAGGAGGCGGCACCCGGAGGGCACTGAGGAGCCGAGCAAGGACAGGAGGGAGGCCCTGGAGGCCAGGAGATGGAGACGGCGGCGGAGGAGGGAGGAGCAGGCGAGGGCCTGGTGGGGGGGGCCCGCGGGGACCCCAGCCTCACTCGTCGGGGTGCTTCCTTGGGCTGTGGCGGGGGGAGTCTAGAGAAGAAGGGGTTTTGTGGGGTGGGCCCTGCCGGCGGGGGGGAGAATGGGTGAATTGAAACACGTTCTGTGTTCTGTCCAGTTGGCCTTTGGCAGTTATTTGTGGTCCTGCTCACCCCAGGGTGTGGCCCCCGTCTCATCCCCTTGCTCTGGACTGTCCTCCCCTGGGATGTACTTGCACTTCCACCTGGGTCCTAGGAAACACCCAGTGCTCGCTGAGACCAGCCAGTCCTCCTTTTTCTCATTCGAGAGGATGAAAGCCTTCTGGAGGCTGCTGGTGGTTTCCTTGAGTGTAGGAGGACAGCAGAGAGGCCAGCTCTCTGCCTGTGGTTCTTCCTCAGGGTGGACAGGCCTGGCCCCGGCGGAGGCAGCAGCGGCCTCTGGGCGGGCCTCTCCCTGCCCTGTCCTCGCCGTGGCTGGCATGTGGTGTGGTCCTGACTGTGGCCGTGGGGTCAGGGAAGGGTTCGATCCATGTAAACTCTTCCTTCTGACTCTAGGGAACAGGGAACAGCCAGGTACCCCAGAGCAAATATGCCGAACTGCTGGCCATCATCGAGGAGTTGGGGAAAGAGATTAGACCCACTTATGCGGGGAGCAAGAGTGCCATGGAGAGACTAAAACGAGGTAAGTGGCGGGACCCAGATGCCCCTGACGGGTGCCGCCTCCCTGCTGGGCGCTAACTGTTGTGAGAGATTTTCTTCGGGGTGGGGGGGAGAGTCCCCTATGCCCCAGGGGCCCCCGTTTTGTTACTCTGATGTGGAGGTGCCCGCAGGGGCAGGGGTGGGCCGGTCCGTGGGATGTACACTGTTCTTGGGATCTGACGGGAAGGCCTTGCGTGCTTCCCGGGAGGGTCCATATGCTTTAAAATTATAGCCCAGATCCTGCCGCTTTGTTTGTTGCCTGCTCGGCTCCTGTTGGCTGCTGGTCCCAGGGAGCCGCGGGAGGCCAAACGTGCCAGGCTTCCTTCTCTGGGTGGGCCGGGGACGAGGAGTCGGGAGGTCCTAGGTCCTGGGTTGCCCTCTGCTGTCAGCTCTTTGGAGCGGAGCCCGAGGGGCCGTATAGGTCTGTCCTAGTCTGGGGAGGGAGAGCAAGAGCACTGAAATTCCTTCACGACTGAGGAGGGAGGGTGGGAGGGCAGGAGCATGACGTCACAGAAACCCAGTGACTCACGTGAAGACGTGACTGACCAGCTGATTCCAGGGGGAGGTGAAATTGGCTGCCACCTCACGAAGCCACTGGAGGGGAGGGGAGAAGGGGATTTCTGTTTTAGAAGGTGGCAGGGCAGAGCAGCTGTGGCCTAGGTGCGAATTTAATTTCAGAAGCGATCTGGTGTTTCTGGGGAAGGTTGGAGAGGCACGCCGGGAATAAATCTGGGGCATAAAGGGGGCCTGCTGCGGAGGCCATGACTCCACAGTGGCGGGCATGGCTGGTGAGGACAGGCTCCAGCCCACGGCAGCAGGCTTCCCTGGTGTGTATGAAGCCTTCGTGGACAGAGAGGCTGGACCTGGACAGGGCTTGGGGAGAGGTGGGTTTAACCCCGATCCAGCCCGGGGTGGCGGGGGGGCAGGTGGGCTTTGCTCTGCGTCCGGACTGCTGTTTGGAGGCAGGGGAAGCCAGACGGTCCTGACACCTGGAGTTCTGGTTACGCGAGTGGAAATCCCTGGGAAGACGCTGGATCCCAGAGTCTAACAGGCGATCTGCAGTCCCCCAAAAAAGCCAGCAGGTTCAGGCCAACCAGTGGGTATGCCTCGTGATGGCCCCAGGGCATGTGCTGCATGAGCAGCTGGTCCCACAGTCACGCTGACCAGTAGCCAAGTCCAGGCTAGCCCAGTGCATGTCGTAATGGGGTGAAGAAGGGTCATAAAGGGTATGGGGGGGTCAGGTGCATGGTGGAGAGGTCAGCAAACTGTGCCTGATAGGCCAAGCACGGTTTTCAATTTCTAATGGTGGAAAATGATTCTGTGACACGTGAAAATGCTCTGCAGTTCAGACTTCAGCGTTCATAAAAAAGGTTTGTTGGAATATGGCCACACCCACTGCTTCTGTAACGGCTGCTTGAGTGGTTGTGACAGAGCCGTGTGGCCTGCAAAGCCCGAGATATTTACTGCCTGGCCTTTTCTAGAAAAAAGTCTTCTGAAGCTCAGAGATAAGATTTGTGAGATGTGGATGCCTGCGTGACTTGGGGATGTCACAGCGCCCTCCGGCGGTCCTGTCTCAGAAGGAGTAGATTCTTTGTGTCTGTTAAAACGAGATAAGTGTCTCACGGTGTTCGCTGAAGGCCACCACCACCAGCACCACCACACAGACGCAACAACCAAACCATAACCACCAAACCAGAGGGAAGAGATGGGCAGGGGGTGGTAGGGCCGAAGGTGCTCTTGGCACCCGGCGGGCAACGTCATGGTGGACCAAGGGTGAACATAAATGAGCAGTCTTGCATCCTAACTGTGCAGGCTGGACACTGGACAAGCCCTTTCTAGAACGTAGACTCTGAAGAAGCCAGAGAAAAATCAGGATTTGGAGTCCTGGATTCTCCACAGTGGGGCAGGCTTGACGAAAGCGGGTGGGGACACATCTACTTGTGTCCTCTGAGAGCCTGGCGTGCACGGAGAGCTTGCTGGCCGTCCCCGTGTGGGCGGGAAGGGATTGGTAGGAGCCACGAAGAGGAGTCTGGGCGAGGAGGGAAGGCCTTCGAGGAGGGATGGGACGCTCGTGTCTCCCCACACCGCTGGAACCCCGGGGTGCTTGGGATGCAGGTCCCGAGTTCCCTCCCAGGGCGGGGGCTTTCCAGCTGGGCTGTGAAGGGCCCCCTTCCTCTCCTGGAGTGGGTTCTGCTGGACGATCCTCAGCCTCTGCTCCTCCTCCAGGCATCATTCACGCCAGAGGACTGGTTCGAGAGTGCTTGGCCGAAACGGAACGGAACGCCCGATCCTAGCTGCCTAGCCAGGCGGAAGGTTTACCATCTTCGTCCAAGACCGGAAGTTACAGCTCATCTCCCATGTTCAGATGAAACTCTTGTTTTCAAAAGGGTAACGGTTTGGTTTCTCCTTCCCATGTCCCTCCCATGGTTCATGAGGCTCTGAGATTGAGAAATATTTTGCAGTTGACTAGGATTTACATTTTAAATAGTTAGGAATTACCCAGGGTTTTTTGTTCTTGTTTTTTTTTTTTTTTTTTAAGCATTGATTTAAAAGATGCACGTAAAAGATACCTGTCTCACGGCAAAGATCCCAGTTACGTTACCCAGATTGTTCTCCGTTCTTTTTCATAAGCTAATACAACTCTGAGGGGTTTTTGGTTTTTTTTTTTTTTTGAGTGCGTACGTTTGCCACACCGTGTGGATTCCGCTTAATGTAACTTCTTTTGTGCTTAAGCATTTGCTTGCATGACTATTAGTGCTTTGAGGTCAATTTAAAAAATGCACAAGTTATAAATACAGAAGAAAGAGCAACCTACCAAACCTAACCTAACAAGAACCCCCCCCTTCCAAATTTTCCTACTAAGACTGTGTGTGGATTTCAGTTCTGCTTTTCCTGTAAGTTGATCCAAACATCTGGAAGAAAATGACTAAAACTGTTTGCATCTTTGTATGTATTTATTACTTGATGTAATAAAGCTTATTTTCATTAACAATTTGTATTAAGGTGTGAGTTCCTTGAATTCTTAAGTGTTTTTTGTTGTTGTTTTTTAAGTGGTATTTTAAAAAACAGCTCCTCAGGGGCGCCTGGCTGGCTCAGTCACTAGAGGTGCAATTCTTGATCTGGGGCTTCTAAGTTCGAGCCCCACGTCGGGTGTGGAGGTGACTTAAAAAGAAAATCTTTAAAAACAAACCAAAAAACAGCTCCTCCGACGAGCGTGGGAGATCCCTGCCATAGAGGGTCTGCCTACCTGGCCCCAGAAACATTTTTTGTGCCAATGCCAGAACCACTACGGGCTGAGGGAGGAAGGCGTTTGCCTAAGTCAGGAGGTGGGGGTCAGACGAAGTTGCATCACGGTGCATCGTGACTGCCGCGGATGGCCGTGTGCGCCGGGGAAGAAAGCAAGAATGTTAGTGGACGTGGCGTTACTGACTTTGCCCACGGCCTGCCCGCCGTGAGGCCGTCCTCGGCTTCCAGGTGCTTGTCCTGCTGCAGGAATCTAGTTCTTCTACAGCGCAGCCTCTAAACTCCAGTTAGCTACCTCAGGTGCTCACCGGGAGAATTCCCTGCCCCAGGGCTGGGGAAGGCCCGCTTGCACTGGATGTGTTTGAGGACGCAGATGGTGGTCCTCAGTGGTGAGGGGGAGACAGACAAATGAGGGATGGGGTCAGTTTTGCAGGCACGAGGTAAGGGCCCAGCCATGACAGGTCGAAAGGCCGGTAAGAGCGGGTGTGTCTACCTCTGTTTCATGCACAGCAAACCCCAGAAGGCACGGGAGAGGAGAGAGATTGAAGCCCCTGTCCCTCCTGTCTACAGCTCCCAAATTTCTCTTCCCGCCATGACCTGCTTGTCGTGTACCCTTCCAGGCGCTTGGCTACCTTCTGAACGGAGGTCCGCATGGGTACGGGTCCTGGATGCTGCGACCGGTCTCCAGAGCCTTGCACACAATGCTTAAGCTTCCAGACCAGTTCGCATCGAGGTGAGAAGAGCCTTACCTGGCTGCCTTCAATGTGTATTCGGACACAGGCACTGGGCACTCGCTCTGTGCCTGCCGAATGGGCTGGTTTTGACTGCAGACTGTCTGACGGTGGCCTTCTCCCCTCATGGTTTTTCCGCTGCTTGTTTCATGGGTGAACCCCAGATGTATTCTGACAAGTGAAGCTATTACCTCTGCCTAAAAACCCCAAACAACCGTAGGGTCAAATCCAGCTTGAGTGATGGCATTGTGCAAATGCACAAATCAGGTTTCTGGAAACTCATCTCATAAATCTACTTATAAATCAACACATAGGCAATGTCATGTGTATTTTTTTTTTTTTTTAAATAAGCTCTATGCCCAACATGGGGCTCAAACTGACGACCCTGAGATCAAAAGTCCCATGCTCCACCGACTGAGCCAGCCAGGTGCCCCAAAAATGCCACTAATGTTTGACTCCATTCCATAGTTTTCCCCCCAAAATGGACCTTCCTTATTACTATTAGTGCTTATTTTTAACCTTTGATAATAAAACAAGACAATCACACAAATGTATAGCTTAAAAAAATATGGTGACATCCTTCTAACTACCCACCCAGGTCCAGGAAAGACCTTTGTGAGCCATCCACAGCCGCTCCGGGTGTCCTATCACGACCACCCCTTTCCTCCCCATGAAAAGTAGCTAGCCAGTCCTTTCGTAGTAATGTCTTCTGTGTGTCTCTATGGTTTTATTCTCAAAATGTGTGTCTCTATTCATCCCAGTTTAGTCCACCATTTAAAAATTTTTGATTTAAAATGTTAAGTCTGTCAGAAATACAGAAATGCTAGAGTAACGCTTGAGATGGAATGGTACTCCCTACCATTTCCTTGGAAGCATCTGGCAGGTTCTTTTTTTTTTTAGTTTTTATTTTTTCAGAGAGAGGGAGTGTGCAAGCAAGAGTGGAGCGGGGGATGGGGGGTGTGGAGGCAGAGGGAAAGGGAGAGAGAATCTCAAGCAGGCTCCGTGCCCAGCACGGAGCCTGACGTGGGGCTCGATCCCATGACCTTGAGATCATGACCTGAGCTGAAATCAACAGTCGGACGCTTAACTGACTGAGCCACCCAGGCGTCCTGCATCTGGCAGGCTCTTTGGTTAGAATCTGCGATTCCTTCTGGGGTGCCTGGCTGGCTCAGTCAGAAGAGCGTGTGACTCTTATCTCGGGATCAGGATTGTGAGTTTTAAAGCCCCATGTTGGATGTAAACATCTTAAAAACAACAAGACAACCACAGAAAAGCATCTTCGATTCTTTCTCAGTGGACGTTTTTATTGGATTCCCAGAGTTCTTTCAGGAGCTTCTTTTTTTCTAGGGTTTCCTTTGCTCTTTTTTTCCTCTCTTGCTTTTTCCTCTCTGCCTCCTGTTTTTCTTTGTAAACAAGACTGTTTTCACCATTGTAGAAAATATCCACTTTCTCTTGTAGGAGTTTCCGAGCGAGCTTTCTGTTCTGATCAACCGATCTTGTCTGATGGCACTGCAAGAGATAATATTTTATAATGTGAAAAAGTCTGTTCTGGACAGGATCTCAAATTGTGGAATTCAACCCACTTGCTCTATAGATGGGGACGGGCCCGAGAGGCAAGGCCACTGGTCAAGATCCCAGTGAGTCCGTGACCGAGCGAAGACCATCCGCCCTCCTGCCTCGTATCCGCCTCCACCTTGTCCCCCCCAAGCTGTGTTACGTGGCTTTCTCGGTGATGGTTTTATAATTAAGAGTGTTGCTTTGTTCGGAAGCAATGATAGCCTTCAGATAACTTACAGTCCCCAGATAATTTTGAAAATATCAACTGATATGTCTAGCTTGTGGCCAGGGAACAAGCCCTCTGTCTGCACCATTTATAAGCATAAAATTCTGTCTCAGGGAGGAAGATACCATCTTTATTATTAGTCAACCATACCGTTGATTATGTCATCCCTGAGTTACTAAGGGCAAGTGCCTTGCAAAGCTATTCGAAAAGCAATTCTGTGAAATGAGAGCGAGAGAAGAGTACTGAAAGCAAATCTGCAGTACGTGTATAAAACAGTCAAACAAAAATCCTGTCAGGTTTCAGAATTGTATGTGTGGCTTATGAATGACACTTTTCCTCGAGGAGGAAAAGAAAAGCGATTGAGGTTTTAACTGATGGGCTCTTGGCTCAAAAACTTGGCAGTGAAGAACAGCTGTTGGGAGCACAGACTCTGGGCTTGGTCTGGGTTGATGCCTGCTGCTGTTGGATCTCAGGCAAGTTACCTAACCTCTCTGTGCCTGATTCCACACCTGCACCATGAGGAAGACAAGGCGTAAGGGCTTGCGAGGGTGACGACTGTCCACGTGCGGCGCTGCGCCCACCGGGGCCTGCCCTGTCATTGGTATATGGAAAGCCTGCCTTGCTGTCCTTTCTCAGGGGCCCCTGGCGACTCAGAAGGGACTGCACTGAGAGCCAGCGGGACCCCCTACTACCCAGGAAATGGGAGAAAGCATTTCAGTATCTCCCAGGGGCTCGGGGTGTGTTGAGAGCTGGGGGTACTCTGATCAGAGACTGGTTTCCAGGTAAAGAAGGAAGCCGCCTCCAGGCAGCCCCCCGTCGCATGTTTATCCTGAGGGCTGGGAAGGCTGTGCCTGAAGGGGCAGGTGTCACTGACGTTTACCAAAGAGGGGACGTCTACCTTGACGACGATGCCCGAGGGGACGTGCTTCAGCACCACACAGTTGCTGGTTTTGTTGGTGGCCTGGCCCCCGGGGCCGTGCCCTTTCACAAACTGCTCTTCAAGATCCGTCTCATTCAGGGGAGGCAGAGCGGGGCGGTCCTTCCTGCCGGCCGCCTGGACCGCAGGGACCGCCGCCGCTGGGGCGAGCAGCACCTGCTTGGCCCGAGGCCGGAGGCCCCGCGGCGCGGCGCAGATTCTGGCCAGGGCTGCAGGCCAGGGGAAGCCGGCCGAGGGACTCATGCAGAGGAGCTCTGCCCGTCCACGACCTGAGTTGGAGAAAAAAAAGACCGCCTTTCAGGAAGGTGCGTTCGTGCTCAGGATTACACTGAAGGGTTCTGGGACAACCTTCTATAAACCGGTTCCAACGAGGGCCACCCAGCCGTCCTGTGGGGTATTTAGCAAGTTAGGCACAGCCCTCTGCAGCCTTGGGGCATCTCCCGTGATCTTCGCTGCGTGCACCCTCCCAGCTGATAAATATTTTCTTGTAACAGACCGAAAATATCTTCGAAGCACCCAGAGGTGCTGCTTTCTCAGGCAGGGTGACATTCCGAAGAACAGGGCTGTAATTCGATAAAGAAACACTCAACAGTGCATCAAGCAAGAATTAGGATCTGAGTCAAGCGACATTATTTAAACGTTTGAGAATCTTTGAAATCCAAATGTAAAGATGACAGTATGCAAGTCTATTTTATAGCTGAGCTTACACGGTCTGACACAGTAAATATCACTATCAATCAATGTCATGATTGTTGTTTTTTAATGTTTCCAGTTTCATGGATTTGAATAGGAACATCTGTTCCCTCAGATGCACTGCCAACAACATGATCCAAGTGGTGCTCATCTCTGGAACGTTCGAATCAACTGATTGTTTATGAAGGTGCCTGCGTGGTTCAAAATACCACACGAGGTGTAGGGAGCGATGCGAGGTGGGAGAGAGGGAGCCTCTGTCTTCATGGAGCTTAGAGTCTAGTCAGAGAGAAGATGCTTAAAAGAGAAAGCAGTGTTTAACCGTTAGATTTAAAATAGCTACTCCAGACGTGGCAGAAGGCTGAAATGTCTAGCCAACAGTGAATGGTATAGAGAGTAACAGCTACCAGGACGTGGTGAATCCCACGGGCCTTTGCTTTCTTCCAGGGGAGGAAGGCAGAACGAGCTGACGGGTGTTAGCTCTTTTCCAAAGATGGGTGACCTCCCCGTGCCAATCGGGACAAGTCACAGTGTGGGCCTCTTTTCTTACCTGGAAAATGGGTGAACAAGCCCTTCTCCGCCCATCCTGCACAGGCTTAAAGGTCAGAGGGGAAAAAAAAAAAAATCTGGAAAGAGCTTTTGTTGAATACCTTTGAAGGCATGAGACTGATTTTTAGCAAAATTCCTGTCACTCGGGAGGATTATGGGAACGATGAACGTGCCCCTCGCTTCATGCTTCTTGATCCAGGATGATGTAGGTGCTAAAAACAGAAGTACTGCCCTTTTTAACAACTGCTTCCTTTGAGGCTCTAAATAGCTGCTTTTACCATTTGAAATCCTGTAAATTCTAGCTGAGGGCCACTGGTCTCTAACCTAGGTAGGAAGTGGTGTATACCTAAGCCAGCGCCCTGAGCCCAAAGTTGCTGAATCATGCACCAAATAATTTCAGCAGGTTTGCTCTCAGCTCATTTACCTTTCGCCCCTGTCTGTTCTGGCTGCTAACTTCTATGAGCCCATGCTGGTCTCTAACAAGCTTTGAGGATGCTTACCACAGATGCAGGCTAGTGGGCACCGCTGCCTTGTAAATATGTACATTTCTGTTATTTTACGGGTATCTCTCTGAGTAATCAGTTTAGCTGGTCCTGAGAGGATCCTGGTCATATTTAGAATGACAATACCATATTCTTAACCTCTCTGTGGAAAATAAATACAATGAAATGTACTTTTCCAAGCCTGATGCCAATGCTCATTTTCAATTCTGTGACGGACGTGATGGTCTAAACTCGTAACTTCTTTCCGAAAAGTATGGCATTCAGGAAGTGTGTCAGTCCCGGGGGGGTGACAATTAACGTGGTGTTGGTAAGATGCTCGGTGGCTGTGGAGGGCTCGATTTTGAAACAGAGCATGCCAGGGAAAGTGGCGCTTTAGAAAACTGGTTTTGTTTATTGTGTGTCAAGTCTTTCGGAAGTACACTTGGGAAAAGATAAATGATAAACACCGGCGCTTTTCTGAAATTGCTACAACAAAGAATCCGCTCCCCTGTAAATGATTAAGTGAATGAGACCCGAGTCAATGTCCAAAATGTCCCTTCCCTTATTTCTGCTCTCAATCCATAGAACAAGATTCCTTTGTGTACCAGACAGCATCAGAGTACCTGGATCAGATTCATTATGGAACGCAAGCCCGGGGCCTCCCTTGGGGTTTCTCTTCCGCTAGTTAGTAAATCCGACCCGGCAGGACAGCACTGGAATAGAGTGCAGCGGCAAAGAAAGGAAGTCAGTCTGAGACGAGGCGAAACTCCCAGACAAAGGGCGGAGAGGAGAGTGCCTTTATCAGCTGCTTTGTCCCTGGCCCGCTGTGTTTCAACTCTCTACCTTTCTGTCCTAGTTCGGGGCTGACACGCACACTGGAAGGCCTGCCACCCAAATGGAGTTCAAGAAGGTCCCCAGTGTTCAGTTACTGACTGTTTTGCTTAACGGCTAATTCCAACAGCCGATCAGGCGATTCTCAATACTTTCCGTATCTCTGGGAGCTTTGGCTCTATTCCAACGACTGCTAAAAATGACCCGTGCACCCATGGTCCCACTTCCCCCCAAAGCCCAGGATATATGGATTGGGTTTCAGGTTTTGTGATACCCACAGAGCAACTCAAAAGTCTCTGGGGGACAATAAAAGCGGCTCAAATTAGAGCTCATCGTGACATTAAAAAAGAGCCACAGGAAAATGGTGACAAGAAGTGCTGGTAAGGGGAAACCGGGAGTCATGACAGTGTGCCCCAATTCCTTTCTGTGAGCGTGTGCCTCGGTTCGGGGCTGGCTCTCCACCCTCACTTCCCCTCAGCCCTGCTTTTCCTCTGAGGACGCATCTGCACTGAACAGCCTGATTGCCGTTTGGCTTAAGGTCTCTCATCGTCCCCATCCCTGCCCACTGGTCAAGTCAGAGATGCTGGGTGTTAGGACTTTACAAAAGGGAATGCCAATTTGTTCAATGAGTATTTTTTTTTTTT